GAATTATACTCCCAACAAAAAATGAAAAGCAAATGTGAACTGCATGTGGAAATTACAACATGACAGCAAAATAATAAAAACGACAGTAGAAAATGGACAGCATGGGGAATGGTTACATTTAGTCAATGTTTTAGGTAGAAGTCTTTATCCTTGATTTAAGGGATATGTTTTGAGTTATTGTAGAAGTGGTTGATGCATTTGGTGAAAACCATTTAGTATTCTGTATGTTAAGCTGCTATGTGATGCAGCAAAGCCAAATAAAAAACTGAGTTGGGTTGTATTCTGCTTCTATCAGAGAATTCACCCCTCCATTGTTTTTCAATTTCTGAGTTTCTCTTCTCCAATTCTCCTCTATTGTTCTCTCTTCCTATAAACCTTATCGAATACTTAAAAAGCTAACTTATACAGTGTGCGGCTGGTACTGAATCAGAGAGAAGGAACTACCAGTGGCATGCAATGCCACTTTATTGTAGCAAATCAACATAAATATATTCTACTCTGATTTTGTTTGATTTTCCACCACCATTCATCAGCATTCTAAGATCAGCTGTCAGCTCTGGTACGCCTTCCTCCTGGACAGCACATGCTAGATCAATTGGAACACCTTGTACGCTTTAAAAAGAAGTCAAGTTTCTGGAATTCAACAGCATTACAATATAAACAATGTTTGTTGAAGCTAAGAATCACTTGTATAGAGGAAACTACAAAAGCCATCCTACAATCTATCAAGAAAGGGAAAAGAAAAGAAAGGAAATTGTTTTTATTGTACAAAGAAAGAGAATTTTATGTTAAGGGCAACCTATTTATCCTAAAAAATACTAACGAGCTGAAAACCATATATTGTCTAGTAAGGACACAGATATTATTTTATTCCAGCATATGTGGAGCTCTTCTACTACATGTCCAGTAAGGCCCATGCTCTGGTGCTGTTAAAAGTACGGACCATGTTCTAGTGAATGTAGTTGACGCTGTTCTCTTACACCACTTGAGCTGAAAAGGATGTTCCTTTTTGTATGCTACAAGCAGAGTAGTGCCTCGTCTAAAAGCTCATCAAAGATCAAATCTTCTAGGTCAAGCGCCACACATTCAGCCTCCGGTTGAAGGTTCATATATGGATCTTTTTTCAAATCTCTGGAAACAATGTCATCCAGTGACTGGTCTGGGTCTGGTATGAACTCCAGGACCCTGCTAACTTTTGCCCATACTTCCTGAAGAATATTGTGCCCCTTAGGTGATTGACATATGTGGGAGCTGAAAGAGAAGGCCTTTGGGAAATACACTGCTGATCCATGGGAGATCTCAATTAGTGCCTCATTAACCAGATCAAATACAAGCCAGTGATGGCAGTTGCTTCCATCCTCCTCAATGGAGTATTCAGGTCCCCGGTGCAAACAAGACTCCAATTCTTTGAACAGTGAAGGGTTTAATGGCTGGTCTGGTAAGTACCATGTTCTGTGGATGTCATATTCCATGAAGCCTGAGAGCTCAAGAACATCTCTTACATAGTTGAAGCAAGCATCACTCTCTTTATCCGATACCGAATGGAATGAGTAATCGTTGATGCCTTCAGTTTCAACACTCTTGTCATTTACTGCGTTGCAGACGTCGGCGGAAGAAACTTCACTGCAGTGGTCCTGTATCACGAAAGATGTGCCTGCAGCCTCATCCATGTGAGAATCCGCAGGATTCAATTCTAAACCTGATTAAGAATGGCCAAAATAATTAGCAAAAGCAAATTGCACTCTCACAAGAAAACATCTATTAAAATTTGATGAGTACTCGTTCTTAAACATAAAATGCAAACCTAAAACAACATTTAAGTGCATTTCTAAATATGATGCAAATGCATTTACCTTCCAAGACTGGATACTCAGCATGGCTGGTTAGATCATCTGGAGGAGATGCATCAAGAACTGATGAATGTAAACTTGGCTGTGAAAGCTCTCTCCCATGCTCATGTTCTTCAATCAAATTTTCCTGAAACTTTGTTTCTGCAGCAACTTCTTGTGATACAAGTTTATTTGCCTCACTTTCATTGTTTGCAGCACAATCTGAAGCAGATCTAATAGGCATCTCTGAAGAAAGTGCTTCGCGAGATAACTCTTTTAGAATGGAACAAATAGACTCAAGATCAGACAGAGAGGAAATCCTTCTGAAGAATTTTGGAACACGCTCTCTCAATAGAAGTTTATCTTCATTGCTTAATCTTAAGCTTCTAGAGTGACGCAAAGTGGGCTCTTTGCTGAAACTATGGTGGAATAATTGAGCATATCTATCCAGTGACTCATTTATAGAGTTTGTTCTTCTCATGAAAGGAAGTCCATTATTGCTAATATCATGATCTGAAGCACTAACCTCATTATAATTTCCAAGACTTTTCATACCATCTTGGCTCATGCTAGTATTTCCTGAAGTTCTAGACAGCTCTTTCCCATCAATGGAAAGTTCTTTCGTGTCTTTTTGGTAAGTCCTCCTTCCCTTCTTCTTCAGTGCATGCTTTATTCTCTGCTTGATATCTTTGAAACAGTTCACAACTAATCGATCCCACCTTTGATGACTAGATCCCAGAGATGAAAAATTTGTTTCTTGTGTTATGGTATTTTCAATACCATTAGTGTCATCAGTTTTCAAAGCCTTTGACATTGACACTTGAGTGTCATCAAGCAATCTTTCAGCTTTTGAGAATGACCAAATTTCCTTCTGCTTGTTTTCAAGTGTAAGAGGCTTAAGACATCTATTGTGTGACGAATCAAACAAAGGGAATGACCCTGATTTCTTCAATTTTCTACTTCTATCATCTGGATCTTGCAGAATGTCAAAGAATAACTCCTTTTTCGCCTTTATTATCTCAAGAACATCCATATACTCCCTAACCTGATTACTCGAAACTTCACCATTGAGCCTCTCAGCATTCAGCTTCTGATTTATTGTGTTTTCCTTTACTTGATCAGACTTTTCCTGAAAGAGAGAATGCATCTGCTTCTTATTTGTTGAATTCATTCTGTCAAAGAAATCGGTCCTCTTGCTTCTTGTAACCAGTTTATCAGAGTTCTCTGGTAGAGATGAATTGCGCAATCCAGTGCTAGAGGTGTTAGCTCTTTTGTGAATTAGAATTAATTGATTCATCCAACCAGGACCATACCCTGAAGGTTCCAAACCATGGATTGAATCAGTTTGCTGTAGCTGTGATTGCACAGAAAAATCCACAATCCGATTCTTGTTCTCTTCCTCTTGCTTCTCTTTATCTATAGATTTTTTGTTGGTTTTGCTAATTTCTAACTGTTGTTCAACCTGAATGCCCAAAAAAAAAAAAAAAATTGTGGTTCAACCTGATAATTCAAGGAATTCCATTCAAACGCTGTTTGATAACAAAGAAACAATTCCAATTGCATAACATAATTTTGCAAACAGAAACTTTTTTAATGTACATATCAACTTACTTGAAAGCTGTCTTCTTCAGGATCTAGCAGTTCCAAGTCATTTTCAGGAGGTTCATGTTCTATAGAAATTGTTTTTGGATTTGCACAACCTACAAATACATATGACATTAGTTTTTCAAAGAACTTTATTGATTTTGATAAAAAAAAAAATCCAAATTTGGAATAATTCCAATTAAGGGAAGGATGACATACTTCTGATATGCCTTCCTTTCTGGTATTTTCTATATGGAAGCATATTCTTGGCTTTATACCAATAATGGTAATCAAGGACATGGCGTATACCCCACATACAACCTGGCTGATAGTCTTCAAATTGATTATCAGAGTAGTCTGACAAGGCCCTTCCCATCTCAAACACAACAGCAAAAACCTAATTCCTTAAAGTCTGAATTGTCCTGAATGTACCATTACCTCCTGAGCACAAACACAAACAACTGCATGACATGTATGTACCACTATCACGTGAGCAAAAACACAAATACCATGTAAACAACATGAATTTGGTTCAGAAACAAATATCCAAATCACCAAAAGGGCCAAAACCCCACTTTCTGAAATTCAATTCCAGAACCCCCCAAAAAAAAGAGAAAGATAGAAAAAGCCCTAAATTAGTAAAGGTTAGTGTATTTAGTGTACCATAAGTTGTTTTTCCTTTTTTTTTTTTTTAGAACATGGGTAAAATCTTAATTTGCAATTAATATTTTTGAAGACTAAATAAGTTAAATATTTTATTTATATAAATCATTTATATCATATATATTTAATAATATTAAATTTTATATAATTAATAAATTATTTATATCTATTAAATTAATTTAAAAATTAAGAAAAATAATCTATACAAATTAAAATTTTTTAATTTAAAAATATTAATTAAAATATGATATTTTTAGAGAGGACATTTTACAAAACACCTTTTTCCCAAATCAATATTGTTTGCTTAGTTTTGAAATACTGGATTATAATATAACAGAATATCCGTAATTAAATTAACTTTGATGTAATGGTATGGTGGACAAAAAATAAATCAAAGTACAAAGTTTTAACAAAGATGGCAAGAGATATCTTAGCTATTCCGGTGTCAACTATGGCTTTAGAATCCACTTTCAATATTTCGGGATGAGTGCTCAATCAATTTTGAAGTAGTTTGTCTTTGAAAGTTGTAAAAGTTTTAGTTTGTGATCAAGATTAGGTGAGAAGTGATAAGGATCCAATTAATGTTGAACAAACTTTGGAAGATGAGAAATATATGAAATAGGTAGAATTTTAACTTCATTTTTTAGTTTAAAAATTGTTTAATGATTTACTTATAACATTGTTAATGTTTTTACTTGTTTAGAAATGAGTTCTATTCCATAAGACCAAGAGCTTGAATCTTCTAAAGGGGTAAATCTTGATTGAAGAATAAAAAATAGTGTAAGTATATAATATAAATAATGTTATGTTTTTGCTTTACAATTTTTTTTTTCTTTTAAACTATGAAAATTATTTATTATTTCAAGGAAAAGAGTTTTCTTATCCATTACGTGTTGTTAGATCAAAAAGCATCCAGTACACTTTCTGGCCAACTGTTGATGACCACACTTAAAATTAAAAACAAACATTAAGTGAAGTGTGAAAAATATAAGAAAAGGAGTCGTTACTCGTCCAAATTATAAGATAGGACAAATCACCTAAAACAGATCTACACAGAGAACAGAGTTCGAGGATTTGGTTAAGAGTGAGGAAGGGAATACGCGCATCTCACAATCCTCCGTTTAAACATGGTTGCATACTTTAACATTGGGATTTTGATTCAACTTATTCATTATCTGTTTACTTAAGTCTTAATAAGTAAGCTTGAAAAATAAATGGACCAAATTGTAACATCTTTTAAAATTTTGGACTAAAATAGATAAAATCAAAGACATGCATGCACCATAAGCACAAGTAAAAAAATTAAATGGACTGATTTGATTAAATTCAAAAACATGAAGGACTGACTTGATTAAATTCACAAACATAGAGCACTGATTTGAAAAAATTTGGAACCTTGGGACTGAATTGCTTAATTGCAAAAGTCTTGGGTAAAATTTGAAATAACAAAGATAATTTGGACTTTGACCCAAAATTAGGAGAACTTAATGATTTAAGTTAATTAATTACTTTATTAGTTTAATTAAATGATTAATTTAACATTAATTAAAATTAATTAAAATTAATTAATCATATTTATTAATTTTTAATTAAGATCATTAAATATCTTAAATTAAAATCAATAAACATGATTAATTTATTTTAATTAAAATTAATTAATCTCATTAACTATAAATTAAACTAATTAACTTAATTAATTACTAATGATACTTTTATATATATATACGGAAAAGTGCGCATCAGTCCTACCTCCCAAAAAAATTTGGAGTCCGAAATCAAAACGACGTCGTTTCTCTTAACTTTGCCTCTACTGTTCTTCGTCCCTTTCTGGAATCACCTCCATTTCTATCTCCCTCGCCTCCTCAACTCCTCCGAGCCTTCTAGAATCATCTCCATCTCCATCTCCCTCGCCTACTGTTTTTGCCCCTTCTGGAATCGTCTCCATCTCCCTCACCTCCTTGACTCCTCCAATTCCTTCAATTTCTCAAATACAATTCCACGCCGCCGACTTAATTCCCAACACCCACTATTTTCACCCCATTCTACTGCTGCAATTCACAAAGCAGCAAAAGCCTCCTAAAAAAAAAAAAAAAAAACTTGCAAGCAAGTGCCTTCCAATTAATTCTGCACAATCTTTCTATTCTTTAACAATCTTCAACAATAAACTTGGAAATTCAACAGCAGCACACGCACCAAATTGATCCTCCTTTCCTTTTATGAAATCAACAAAGCCACACTCCAAAAAAAAGAAATATGAATTAATATCCTAACTTGAAGATCCAGAACAACGTACCAAACCATAGCAAACGGCATCATTGTCTTCTAAGTACAGTCCATCAAAGTTCCTGAAAACTGCGTGAACCCCACAAACTAAGCATCCAACACCGAACCTGATGACCAAATTCTCCACCATGCCGCACAACACACTCAATTAGGAGCTACCAGAGCCTAGAACAAGAACTGATCTCGGCACATCTATACCACATCTATACCGACCTAAAAAAGTCAAATTTCCATCTCATTTACCGTGCGATGCCGAAAAGTAAGAAGGAATTTCAAGAAATGGGAGGAATAAAAAACGGGAAACAAGAAAACATCATCGCCACATCCACCGATCGCTTATGCTATGGCCCCACAACACCAAACAATCTTTTGTGAACAAGTAGAGGAGGATCCAGAGTGCAATGATGATGCAGAGGAGGGCGAGAGAGAACGGGGCGATGAGGAGGGATAGGGCACAAGCGGCGGCCACGATAAAGGAGTAGCTGGCAAGGAAATAGCGGAGATTGCAGCGGGCGCAGGCGGGGAAGGAATCGGGCCATGAGTAGGAGATGGAAATGGAGGTGATTTCAAAAGGGTATGAAAAACAATGGAGGCAAAGTTAAGAGAAACGACGTAGTTTTGATTTAGGACTCCAATTTTTTTTTGGGAGGTAAGACGGATGCTCACTTTTCCGATATATATATATATTTTAACTTTTTTTTTTTAGTTTTTTTTTTAACAGAATCGGGTTGAATTGACTCTACCCAAAAACACAATCCATCAGATAAATGAGCACAAAACAGATCAAACCTTGAACGAAAACCAAAGTCCAGACGGCATAAAGAGAAATTCAGGGTTCATCACATTTACTTCTCATTTCCAGAAAAAAAGACAAACATTTTCATCAGGAAATAAACTGGATAATTTTTTTTTGATTTTTTCATTAATTTTTCAGCAACATACATGGGTTTAACATCATATCTAAAGAAAACATCAACAGAAAACAAAGCAAAGGAAAAATAGATCTGAGTTTGATGGGAGGAATCCCACCCACAGGATCAAGCTCCCACCATTCCCTTCACCATTTCCCTGAAAGGACCCTCTGTTTCGAAGATTACTTACAAAGATAGACCCAAAAACCAATTCTCACAATAGTCACTCCTTCAAGAGCTTGACAATCTCCTCCCAAATTGCTACTTCCCTCAAGCAGAACTCCCTCCTTTCTGCTGCCGTTCTCAATACCCAACTCAGACAAAAGACCCCCCCAAAACCATCATCTAAAGTTCTATTTATACTGCTCAAAAGCAAAGAAAACCCTAAAAGAATATTCCAGAAATTAACTCTCCTAGCCTTTTGGATCCACGGTTTTTGGGCTTTTCAAATTTGTTTCTTGCTTTTACCAGAATCTGCAACATGGAATTGGGCCTCTCCAATCCTCACATTTTTACAAAAATCTGCAACAATGCATTTGGGCCTTCAATCTGCGTCCAATTCATCCTGTCGTCACCCACCTGTGATCCATAGCTGGCATAGATTTAGTCTGTAGATCTGTTTCAGTTGGATGATGATTGAGGTTTCGCCGAATCGCTGCATTCTCGCGTGAACAGCACCGCTATCTTGGATTGATAGATCAAGCCCTTTTTGTTCCAATTTCGGTGTTCACTTGCTGACTTGGCTGATGCTGGACGGCGGCCTTGGTTCCAGAAGGTGAGTGTGGGTGATGGCTTCCCGATTGACTACAACCGGGGATTTTGATGTATAAGGAAGTTGGAGACGGTGAGATCATAAGAAAGGAAAGACCGATTGGAGAAGGAGAAGAAAAGGGAAGACGGTGGTGATGGCGACGATGATGATCGGGGATTAGGATGGTGGTGATGGTGATCGGAGAGAAAGAAAGAAAACGGCTACTGGCTGCTCGAGGAATATTCGGGAAATGAGAGAGAAAAAGCCGAGGGTCAGGGGGTGTGTGTGGGTGAGGAACAAGGTCTCACGTTTATCTCTTTTTTTTTTTTTTTTTGGTTTTGGGTAGTTGGTGGGCTTTGGGTTTGAGGTAGTTGGTGGGTTTTGGGTTTTTTTGTTTTTGTTTTTGGGTTTTGGGTTCGGGTAGTTTTTTGGTTTTGGGTAGTTGGTGGGTTTTTGGGTTTAAGGCTTAACTTCAATACGTTTCACCCCTTCAATTTTCTATTTTTTCAATTGGGTCCCTCGTCTTAATTTCTTCCATCTCCTTTTCTAATCTTCTTAGCAAAAGCTCCTTTTTACTCATAAACCTAACAAAGAAAGTAAAGAAAAAATATTAATTAAAATAAAATAAAATTTTATTGAAAATTTGAGTTATGACACCAACTATAATGTTCACATGATAGAAAACGTCATCCTGTTTGCACTTTTGCTTTAGTGAATAAGCTATTGTGTTGAATAATTGACTCCAACAACTTCCAACCTCTACATTGCTGCTTTACAATCTTGTTATTAAACTCTATTCTCAATTGATTTATTTATTATAGTTCTAATAATTGACAGTTTTCAACACATTTCATATGTTAGATCTTTTATTTAAATTTTCTTAAGAAGAAAGAAGACGAAGAAGTTAGATATAAAATTAAATTTTAGTTTTTTATTGTTATTTTAAATTATATTTAAGTTTAAATTGTAATAAATAATATTTTATTAATTTTATTTAAGTTTATATTGAAAATAAATAATATTTTATTAAATTTTAATTTAAATATTAACTGTATTTTCATTTTAAAAAATTAAAATAAAATATTATTCAACAAGTACTTACCTGCAAATTACCTTATCACTATTACATCCAACGGTAACCGCGGATTGACGGACACGCGTCCACACCAACTCGAATCTAGTGGAATATCCAATGGTCAAAAGAGCGCAATCCCCAACAATATAAACGGGGCTTTCATTTGCCGGCTAACTTTCCTGATCGGAGGCTATTGTTTTTCCGGCTTAAAAATTACAAGCCGACGGCGGGCAGCTGAGATCGACTCATTCAAGGTGACCTGTGCTCCACATTTCTTGTTTTCTGTTTGGTTCTTAAGAAAATGTAGGGAATATGAAAGGAAACCGTTTCATAACAGTTGATCAGATCCATGACATTAGAAGTGACTTGGGTCTAGTCCATTGATAATTTTCATATTCCTTTCTGTTTTCCTGTTAGCTAGTTGTTGAAAGAAGATGGCAGAGGGTGATGATATTCAGCCCCTCGTCTGTGATAATGGGACTGGAATGGTTAAGGTACGTATTGTATTTCTGGGTGCTCTGTATATCTCCAGCGCTAAACTTGGTTATATGGTTTTTCCTTGCATTTTAGGCCGGGTTTGCTGGTGATGATGCTCCAAGGGCCATGTTTCCCAGCATTGTGGGACGTCCACGGAACACTGGTGTGATGGTTGGGATGGGCCAAAAAGATGCATATGTTGGGGATGAAGCTCAGTCTAAGCGTGGTATTTTGACTCTGAAATATCCGATTGACCATGGCATTGTTAACAGCTGGGATGATATGGAGAAGATTTGGCATCACACCTTCTACAATGAACTCCGTGTGGCCCCAGAAGAACACCCTGTTCTGCTTCTCAGCACCTCTCAACGCAAAAGCAAATCGGTAGAAAATGACCCAAATCATTTTTGAGACTTTCAACACTCCTGCTATGTATGTCGCCATTCAACCTGTTCTCTCTCTCTATTCCAGTGCCCGTACTACTGGTGAGCTGCAGCAGTTTCTCTTTTATTTGGGCATATCTGTTTTTTAACTGCATTTTGTTAACATTGGAACTTATATAATCTAGCATCTAATCAGTGCCAGCGCTAATTAGTCTTTGTGTAGGTATTGTTTTGGACTCTGGAGATGGTGTGAGTCACACTGTCCCCATTTATGATGGTTATGCCCTCCCACAAGCCATCCTCCGTCTTGACCTTGCTAGTCGTGACCTTAGTACTGGTGCTCTGATAAAATCTTGACCGAACGTGGTTACTCGTTCACCACTACAGCTGAACGTGAAATTGTGAGAGACATGAAAGAGAAGCTGGCATATATTGCCCTTGACTTTGAGCAAGAGCTAGAAACTTCCAAAACTAGCTCTTCTGTTGGTAAGAGCTATGAGTTGCCTGATGGCCAAGTCATCACCATTGGTGCTGAGCGCTTCTGATGCCCAGAAGTCCTTTTTCAGTCGTCCATGATTGGAATGGAAGCTGTCGACATTCACGAAAATACCTATAACTCCATAATGAAGTGTAATGTCGATATCAGGAAGGATTTATATGGGAACATTGTCCTGAGTGGTGGATCTACCACGTTCCCAGGGATTGCTGATAGAGAAAAAGAATGTGTAGAGATGTATTGGAAATCGATTCGTGGCACTAATGATAAAGGAGCACTACAAAAAAACCGAGCTTCACCGACCACATTTCACCGAGGTAAGAAGGTTTCTCGGTTAAGGATCCATTTACCGACAAGATATACGTCTGCACCTTGAGCAACAGTAAAAATGGCAGTAAGATATATTATTTCTTGTACAGACGTAAGACTCGTCGGTGATTTAACAGAATACGTACGTGTTCCTTGTCGGTAATTGTAACCAAAACTCCGGCCGGCGTGGGAAAGGAGGAAAGGCATATCACCGACAAGAAGTACGCCTGTAAATTAATTTGAAACAACAGTCTCGTCGGTAATTGAGGATCAGTTTCCAACATCCATCTCCTCGGTAATGTCCACTCCCAATGCACCCCCCCTCCGCCAACCAGCTGGCTGCCTGCGTCAGGGGTGCAGCTTTTTGATAACATTTCCGACATAGTGCTTGTCGGTAACTTGCCCTTCAGCAACTCCCTACGAATCCGGCTGGTGGCCACTGGCGGTGCAGCTTTTACTTTGTTTACTGAATAGATATAGGTCGGTAATATGTGCAGCTCCAACTTGATGCTCGTCGGTGATTGTCCAGTCAACGGGAATCTTGATGCAACGCAGAGATGAGCAGCTTTAGACTGTAGCAATGTGGGTTTCGTCGGTAAGCTTCCCTATGCCCTGCAGCTCCGCCCTTCTGCTTTCATTTTGGTCTTTCTCCTTTCATTTTCATTTTCCTCTT